CAAAAACGTAATTAATTACTTTTTGAAAAATTAATTTAAGTACATCAAAAATACAATATTGAATTTTTAAATAATTTCCATAAATAAAAAAAAAGCACAGTAAATGTTCGTTTATATTCTTGATCCGTATCGGTACTGTGAGCCGTATTTGTAGGAACGGTCTGGACTTAAAATCTTGTCGTTCAGAACATTAAGACAGGATAATGCTAAGATTGCCAAAAACAAAGCAACGTTTATTCCTGCACATGCCTAAAATAAAAACTGTATAGAAAAAGAAGTTGCATAGAGTTCAAAATGTCAAAGTTTATTTGAAGTGACTGCATTTCTGAAGCAGAACAACGTCGACAACTAATGGACATTTTTAATCTTCTTTGAAGACTTTCATCACTGTTGTCGACATATCTACCATTTTTTTTGAGGAAGAACACAGCTCAGTTGATTACGTACTTTTCTCGGTGCTTGATAATGAAAACAAGTTTAAGGTAATTTGCCTGCAGTAGTAACTTACCGACATCCAACCAAACTTCTCTCCAGTGTCAATGATAGTTCTTTGTGAAACAGTACCACAGATACCGCAGATAACCATCCAAGCGATCATTCCTCCACCAGCCAAAATCACCTCCTGAAAAATAAAAATTAATTAAAACTTAGTAAGAACAATCAATGTTTTGAGCAAAAATAAAAAATAAATCAACCTTACACGTTACTTATTACTCGATATTACTATAAAAACGAATAGAAAAAATATTAAGTTTTTTTTGTAAAAATCACTTTATCAAGCATCCAAAAAGTGTATAAAAATGAGGAAAAGCATTACGTTTTTATTGTTTTATCAATTAATATCGCTAATCTTAAGGCGTAACGCAAAAATAAAGCCAAAATACTGTTTTCATAAGTGAACATTGTCAGCCGTTAATCCATATTTAAAAGACCTTTTAGTTCCATTAACACTTTACAATAATGTCCCTTAAGAATGCTCGGTGATAAAGTTTTCGAAGATTTTTAATTTTTGGGTAGAGTTGAGCAACAAAAATCTTGCTGTACATTAGAAATAATAAAGAGAAAAACAGGTGTTTTAAGAAGAAAAATTGCTTCTAAAACAAATTTAAAGCTGAATTAAAAAATAAAATAAAAAATTTCTTCAATAAATTCTTTTAATAAAATTTAAAAAACAATAGTTTTTAACGAATTTACCGTCAATGCACAATTTGTCATTGAAGCTGGTCCGTTGTCATCAGTCTTCCGTTGCATAATTGCATACATAATTATTGAAACGATGCAATAGAGGAATGTTAACGATGAGAATATGTAGATGAGTACAATTTCATAGTTGATTGATATGTACGCTGTTGTGTAGGTGGGATCGAGTAAAACCAAGACAATTATCGTCAAAATCTGCAAATTTAGAAGTCGCTTTAAAGCAACATTCACTAACAGTTTAATGTCTATTTTTTATGACACTTTATCAACACCCATTATAGCATTAACTAAAAAAGTTCAAAATTTTTTTAATTTTTTAAACGTTAACAGATACTGTATTTAATAGTATAGCCCAACTGCCCACCAACTGTCAGCGGTCAACTTTTTATTTTTATTTTTTTTTGGATCAATTTACAACAGTAAAGCTAAAAATGTGGTTTATTATGAGAAATTCATTAAAAAGTCAAGATTAAGAAAAAAAAATTTTTTTCTCTTTATTTTATAAAAATCTAAAAAATTGTATTCAAAATTCAATAAATAAATTTTTGGCAATCAAAAGATTAAATCAGAAGAAAAAATAAAATGTAAAAAGTAAAACATTAATAAAAACAAAAAAAAATAAAGCTAGAAAATAAATAGTGTCTAGAAAACAAAAAACATAGAATAAAAAAAATAGAAATAAAAAAAAAAATGTTAATTTAAAAGATCAGTAAGGAAAAATAAAAAAGTTTAATAGGTTTTGTTGTTTTTTTTTTTTTTTTTCTGTCAGGAAACTTACAATGATCAAGATTTTGATGGCTGAATAAGTGACCAGTTGATGCGGTATCGCCATCGTTCAAATCGTATAGCAACAACAACCGAGGAAACGTGCAGTAAAAGAACTGTTTGGCCAGAGACTGGTGCAACGGGCAGCTACCCCCCCTATTTCGTTTTGCTGCTGATTCACTTATGTCAACAGTAGAAGCCGACGTCGATTCTGTTCAAACACCATTTCTATGCACTATGCCAAAGCAAACATAACAAATTCTTTCCTTTACAATAATAGAAAGCTTTGATCTCATCGTCTTTTTTCACCCACACAAAAATCGTTTAAACATTTGAAAAATAATTACCGTGGTAATAAAAAGTATAAAACCGTGCTTATCATTTACCATTACGTATATGAGAAGAGCTCCAAAGAGTAACAATCTTGCAACTCTAGACTTTTGAGACTACTTTTTTTTTTGACTCAGAATTCCGTTTGTCAACTGTGTATCAATTTTTAATACTGAACTTACTAATTTTCCAGCTATCAGCGTTCACGTGTTGCTTACAGAGTAACTTTTTATTGATTGATTACTACGGTGAGCGAATGCATTGAAGAGCATTCTAAGTATTTAAAAATCAAGAATGTTTTCTGAAACCTGTTGACCGCTTTCAAAACTAAGCATACAGAGGACAACGAAATTTCTGGTCATTTTGAAATAGTGACTTTTAATATAAACTTTGACTAAACATCTTTTTTTTTTTAACTGAAATGATAAGATAGCCGACTGTTATTGTAATAAAGCTTGCTGTCCAGCTGAACTATATTTTCAAAAAAGTCAATAAATATCAAAAGTGTAAGAATTTATTAGGTAACATTGGTCAATATTTTGCTTTTTTTAGAGCATATGATACTTTTATAACAGCGTTGAAGGTTATTAGAATAAAAAAATTGATTGCGATCTTCAATAACGGTCTAACAATTAACAGTTTGCTTTGGTTATTGGAATAAAAAAATTTTGCAACTAAAATTTTTAGTTTCATCAACATAACAATTTTCACATCTTCCCCTAACATTCAGGCCGTTAATGCTTTTCTTGCAGGAGCAGTTTTTTTGAAGACAAATGAGCAAAAAAATGGCAACTTTCTCAAAGAAACAAACAGAGAGCAAATTGCTAACGGCTGCAGCTGAACAAAAGATCTAAGGAAGTTGATGCATCCAATAGAATTAAGATTAACTAGTAGTGAATAGAGTTTACTAGTACCTCAGCATCAGAAAAATAAGTATGAATTACACCTGAAGTTCAAGTCTTGTTCAATATTGTCAAACAAAGAAGATAACGAACAACTTGTCAAATCGGCAGAAACAATGCTGCTGGTTTTTTTACGATCCGTACATTGACAGAAGAACGATTCTGCTTATGCAAAAGCTAAAGAAATAATTGAAACTAAGATGTTGGTCTAATAGACTTGTAGAAATAAGTAAAGATGCCAAAGTAAGCACAAAATATCACCTGACAGTGATATCAAAAAAAAAAAACATGGTTGCTATTTGATATCAATTTGATATAAAGATCAAAAAAGCTGCAAGATAATTCATTTAATTCATTCAAAAAAGTCAATTCTACATTTCAGGCCTACATAATTTTCTTAAAAATAACACAGTTTTCGCATATATATTTATACGACGACAAAACTTTTTTTAGCAATTGGTTTTGTTTATTCAGCTCATTAACTGAAAAATGTTTATAAATCTGAAAAATTTTTTTTTGCATCTATTTTAACACGTAATTTTATTTGAATAGGAAGTTACTGTTTTACACTAAGATGAATAAATAATTAACTTATTGCATCGCATTACAAATCTGCAAAATAATTTTTTTTTTTTTT